GATCAAACATGGATACAAAAATACATAAAACTCAAACACTGGGTCACACGACCCAGCCCATGACAAATTGTTGTACAGAGGGTACAACAGGACATATCAGGACAAATATATATTTAATAAAGGCGCTCAGACAACAAATAAAACAACAGACTGATTCTTATCAATATAAAAACATCAGATGTTCAAATAAAACCAACAATTTACTTTGAACTGTTCTGTAAATTAAGAATGGGTGAATGTAAGCAGAGAGGGAACAGACTTGATGAACACAGTCAGATTCCTGTGGATTTATTCCACTCTGGAGTGGACGTATATTCTTACCTCTGTGCAGAAACACAAAGAGGAAATCTGTGGCAGCCCATCTCCCCCGACCCTCTGCTTCAATATATTTTAAGAACACTCCCACATGCTTTGAATTAGTTCCTTTCATGGTCTGTTGTGCTGCTCAGGGCCCAGCCACACACAGCATGTTTGAACATGGCCCGAGTCCAATCTGATTTTCAGGCTTCCAATGAGAATAAAGAAACACACATTTGTCTCTGTGTCACCAGGATCTTTGTGGAGCCACAACCTGCGACACGCTGGGGATGGCTGATGTTGGGACCATGTGCGACCCGAAGAGGAGCTGCTCCGTCATCGAGGATGACGGCTTACCCTCGGCTTTCACAACTGCTCATGAACTTGGTCAGAAGTTTTCTCACATTATGCATCTCATGCTAAACCAACACGACCACAGAATGACTTTTTTATTTGGGGTTTGACTAACTTGTATGTGCATAATCAGTGCGCAGACTAGCCCGGCCTGTGGGACTTATTATTTTCATGATGAATTGTATGGTTGCGGTTCTTGGTCTTGATCCTGGGGGACTGGTGGGTTTACATCTGTCAAATGATTTAATTGCCTTCATCTGATGCTGTGTTTGAAAATCAGCATCATTACGATCAAAAGCAGCGCTCAGTGTTTCACCGAGCAGCCACACCATGTAACTTTGTCTTCTGGCAGCTGTGAAAATCTCAACTATTTCATTTGATATCATAAAGCAACATCTTTAACAGTCTGTGGAAAGGAAAAGGGCAACGAAAGCACAGTAAATATCACTGGTATGTCCAGCAGTGGCTGCTAATTGTAAACGACATACATAAACTATTGTTCAGGGATATCTCCGAAGATTTGGGGTGGAAGTGAGTGACACGGAAATCTCCTGGAGTGACATGAGCAGATTCATGCTACTGTCGCGTCTGTGAGTTAGCTATTAGCTAGAGCAAGCAATTTAGCATAAAGGTCTGAAGATGCTGGGAACGGCTCGCCTGCTTCATCCAAACTCTACTAAGCACTGTAACAAAGTACACTTTGGACAAACAGCTCGCTCTTAGCCCCGCCCCCAGTGCTTTTCTTTGTTAGACTGGCTGTAGCCAGGTTAGCCTCATTAGCTTAGCCTCTTAGCCTCTGCTCTGTCGCAGCGGGGTGCGCCGGTGTATTCGGAAATAAGACCCAAAAGCAGATGCTGACAGAGGGATTGGGTTTTAATGAACAGCGAGCCTTTGTTTGCCTGGTGGCAGGAGTTAAACATAAAAACTAAACAAACTGAGAAACACTGTGACTGTGGCTGTGGGGGGGATAACAGACGACCTGACAATAACTAAACAGAAAAGCACAAATACACACAAGGGGAATGAAAACACATGACACAGCTGATACACATGAACCTAATGACGCTACTGGGAAGTGAAACTAAAGCTGTGTCCCAAAACGTCGGCTGCATCCTTCAGAGGACCCGGCCTTCGCGGTCTACGTGGGCCGGGTCCTTCAAAGACCGAGAAGGCCGGAAGTGCGAGGCTGTGAAATG